TGTCTGTGCTGGCTGCAGAGCTTGTTTGAATGAGAGGTGTTAAATAACAAGAGGTGTCCGGGTAAATGCCATGAAAGAATATAATAAATGATCAGGAGATGTTCCTCGGCTGCTCAGTGGAGCCAAAGGAAAATCCCACCCCGGCCATGGGAGCTGGGACGGGGCTGGGGGGGTTCGGGAGCTGCTCAGGGACACAGGGAGGGGGGGAATGGCCTGGGAAAGAGACAAAACCCGAGGGCTTTTCTGAGAAATGATGGGAAGCAATGGGATGGGGGTAGCTGGTGGCACCGGGGGGAGGTAACACCTACACGATGTCATTGAGCTCCAGCCGCGTGTCCGGGGGGGGGTTGATCAGGACGTAGGACAAGGTGTTCTGGTGGTCGTTCATCTCATCTGCAAGAGGAGGGACAGGGCTGGTGAGGGAGGGACACCCCCACAGACACCCCAGGCGAGGTGACAGATCCCATCCTGGCTCTCGCTCCCACAGGCAAATGGGTCCCCTCGGCAGGAGAAGCCAAGGCAATGTCACCGCCACCGGGAGGGCACCAAGAACGTCGCTGCCACCTCCCTCCTCACTCCCCGGGCTCTCCCCCACCGCAGCACGGCCCGGGGGACTGGCACAGGTAACTCTCCAAAGCACCCACTCCCCCCCAGAATAAAGTGAGTTGTCTTACCTTGTTCCAGTGCAAAAGAGGGAACAGGTTAGTCCTGCTGTGTCAGGTACAGCACGAGTCCAACCAGGGCAGCTGAACCCCCCGGGGCCACCCCGGCCTCTGCCCCCCTCTCCCCTCCAGGTACTCAGTTTAGCATCATCCAGGCACAGGGTTAATAAAAACCCACGGATTGCTGCTTTTCCCTGCCCCGGGGAAATCGCCTCCGTGGAGTTTCAGAGCCGTCGATGCCGTTTTGGGGATGGCTCTAAACCTCAGTGACCTCCCGGGGGGGGCTCAGGGCCACCAAGAGCAGCACCCACGGGGGCCAACGGGGGGTCTCGGTGACGGGGGGGCCCCTGTGCTTCCCGAAATAGCCAAGAACAAGATCATGGTGAAATGGATGGGGGTGCGAGGCTGCGGGCGCCGGGGAGGGGTGGAAGCTGCCACAGGTGACACCATTTCCAGACGGGCTGATGGGGTGTGGATGGACAGGGCGGAGAGGGGACGGACAGACGGACACCGGGGCAGCATGAGGAGCACGGCGGGACACCAGCTCGCTGCAAGGCTTGTCACTGGGACACCTCTCCAGGCTTTTGGAAAGGCCCCTCTGAGGAGCGAATGGAGCGAATGGAGCTGCTCTGGGGGCAGCAGCAGCAGGACCCGGCCACTGGGATGGCCATTAACTCCAGGCTGGGGACCGCTCCCTGTGGCCTGTCCTGCTGCTCCCTGTCCCTGCTGTCCCCCTGCCTGGCCTGGGGGATCCCCCAGCCAGAGGCTGCCCTGCCCCATGTGGGCACGGCCAGGGTCTCCTGCCACAGCAATGACAACATCACCGTGCACATCACCCCGGCACGGGGCCCAGGTGCTTCTCTGCAGCCCTCAGCTGCAGCTCCAGCAGCACAGCCCCCCGGCACAGGAGTGCGAGCAGCTTCCTCCCGAGCTGCCTCTGCCAGGGCACCCCCGGCTGAGCCCAGGGCCATCCCCGGGGCCAGCGGCGCTTGCAGGGGGACGCCAGGCCTTTGTTTCGCTGCCCAGACACATCCCTGGCACCCCTGGGACCACAGGAGGTGCTGCAGAGCCGGGGGGACCCTCGGGGTGATGCTGCCTGGGACCCCCAGCCTGTGCCAGGGTCCCGGAGCCACCGGGGAGTTTTGGCCATGCCAGTGCTCAGCCTTCCAGGGAGCCAGGGATGGGGGTGGCGATGCTGGGGCAGGGGCGGCACACAGACCCTGGGACCCGACGGGACACACGGGGTTTGACGTGACAGGAGGTGGGGACGGGCTCTGGCTCTGGGCAGCTTTCCCTGCCCCATGGAAGTTTCCTGACCCCAAGCAGCCCTGCACACCGAGTATATTGCTGCACCTCCACCGCCCCTGGCAATATACTCTGCTGGCCTGGGGCTTCCATGAGCCCCAGCTGGGGCTGCCTGTCTGATGGAGGACACACTTTGAAGGGAAATGCCAACGTTTCACCTTAAGCCTGGGCTAGTGAAGCCAAAAATGAAGCTGGGATGGGCCCTTGGTAACCTTGGGGCTGCTGCAGCAAAAAGGAGACTTTCCAGGGCATGTTCCACCGTGGTGAAAAGGTGAAAAAAAGATGGGAAACCCTGGCAGGTCCCACAGAGCCCCACAGGGTGCCCGGGGCATCCACAGCACCAGTGGCCCCTGTGGCTGCCGTTGCTGCCTCGGGCTGAGCCCAGCACCCCTGGTCAGAAAATGGGGTCTTCTAATGCTGGAGAGGGGTCCAGGAAGGCAAACCATGGGGTGCAGAGGGATTTTTAAAGCAGTGCCTTGCCCTGGGCTGTGGCTGACCCAGCAGGAGCTCCAGCATCTCATCACAACATGCACAGGCAGCCCTGGTGCACCTCTCCCCCTCCTTGTCCCCTCCTCAAGCTGTTGCTGGCTGTACAGCCCAAAGCCACCTCGCAGAGCTGTGGAGGGAGGGTTTTGTTAATGAAAGCCAAGGGCTGTGATTTCCCTGTAGGAATGCAGCTAAAAAAGGGTCCCTGAGGTTTCTGTCTCCCTGATTAGGCAGAGCCCTACATTTGCACCAACGCCACAGGACACTGACTGGTTTTCCAATGCCACCCAACAAATTAGTGCTGAAAGCTCGGGGACCTAAGGTGAAAACTGGCAAGGGTGAGGTTTGGGCTTAGCTGGCATGATCTTGTTGTACGCTGCACGCCATGAGTCACGCGGGACTCCCAGGGAAAGGGAATTACCTTGCAAATATCCCAGGTTTACCCGATTCATCACATCACTGGCTGTTAAATTTGCTACATCCTCTACAGAACATACAGGGAAAGGCACAGACATAAACAGAGAGAGAGAGAGAGGTCAGCAAGCCATGGTTTGGCAAATATCAGAGACGAGCTCCTGCGCTGCAGCGATAACGTGAGCAAA